TGAGCATAATTGCTAGAAAAGCCATGATATCCTCAAGTCCGGCAGTGTAAACAGAACTATAAGCATCATAACTTTTTTCCTTCTCTGGGCTGTTATGAACCTTTACTGCTGAAAGGTCTTGATGTAACCTGGAACAGTAGAGAGGCTATGCTGTACAAGCAGAAAGAAGACAAATGGTTTAGAAATATAACTTTTTTGAAAATTGTATCATAAGACTTCTTTATAACCAGGAGAAACAAATGGAATTAATAAGTAACAGTAAAGTTGCCTGCTGTAAGCTGACAGAAGCCAATAAAACAAACACCAAAAAAACCCAAAAACAACAAACACCCACACCAACAGAATGGTAAAATTAATACAAATGTATATTATTTCTATTATAGAAGGAAATAGAAACTGTAGCAGGGAAATGGACTTTCAGTTTTGCTGTGGACTATGCAAACATGTGGGAAACTACACTTACTACCTCAGGGGTTTATAATATAAAAGAATAATTTTATCAGGAACATTAGTGGTTCAGAATCACCAGGGATCCAGGTTTTCCATTTCCCATGGAAAAACACGGATTTCCCCCTTTTGAAGGAGAAAATCCATTATTTTCTCCTTTAATGAGAGAAACTCAGGAAACCATGGTTTTCTCATTGAAGGCTGGTGGAGTTCCAGCCTGCAGGGTGCTGCTTGGTGCTGGGGAAGCAGAAGGGGGGCAAGCAGAGGCAGGGGCTGCCATGTGCATGTGCACACATGCACATGCCCAGCAATGCAGCCAGGTGGTGTGGCAGAGAGCAGCTTCTGCAACTCTGCAAGTAGGTTTATGGGAGGGGGAGTGGTCTTGGTGATGCATTGGGGGTGGGAGGACATAGGTGACAAATGAAGAGGCATGGATGACACACAGGGGGACATAAGCAATGTGTTGGAGAGGCATGGGGGTAATTCTAAGTACCTATAAATTTTGGTATTTGATTTTGGGTTTTTTATCATGGAAAATCAGAGCTCCCCCTGCCCCTTTTGCTCACCAGGATGTAGGTCCAGGCCCCTCACTCCCAAGCCACAGCCCCCCATCCCTGCTGGTGCCACTCACTTCTCACCCACGGCCCTCTGGCTCTGATGGTGCCCCTCACTCCCCATGCGCCAGCCCTGCAGGTGCCCCTCACTCCCCATGCACAGCCCCCCACCTGGCAGCTCTGCCAGAGGGCCCCACCCAGCTCTCAGGGCTACAGGGCCAGGGACCTGAGTCCACAGTCTCTGGTCCGTGAAGCATCAGCTGAGCCCTAGCTGCTGTCCACAGGAGGTGGTGGCTGCTGTGGCAGAGCAGAGAGCCTAACTCCCCCTTTCCGACGGGCAGCATGGCCAGAGCAGAGCCTGGGTTGTGTGTGCGCAGGCCACTGTGGGCTTGGGCTCCCCACCCTACTGCCCTCCCGCAAGGCCCTCTACAGCCCAGCAGGCAGGACCTGGTGTGGCAGGGCAGAGAGAGGTTGGGCAGGGAAACTCGATGCTGCCACTGGGAGCCCCATGCCACCATGGCAAGGCACCCCCTACATGCCTGGCAGCAGCAAGGGGCACAACTCCGTGCCACTGCCTTCACTGCTGCCAGGTGCACTGGGGCCACTTTGCCATGGTGGTGCAGGTCTCCCGGTGGTGGCACTGAGCTTCCCACTCTGCCTTGCCACACCAGGTCCCGCCCGCTGGGCTGTGGAGGCCCAGGGCAGAGGGCAGTAGAGCAGGGAGCCCTGAGGCTGCAGCTTGCGCCTGCCCTGCTCACAGATCTGGGGGGCACCTGCCCTCCCTGCTCCTCCAGGAGTGCACACAATAGTAAGGAGCCAGCTCCCCTGCTCTCTGCTCCCCAGATGAGCCGCCCACAGCTCTGTCCCACTCCCTTCTCAGACCCTGCAGTGGCGGTGCATGGGCCCCAAGCCCCATGCACCGCCCCAGCTGGCCAGCAGCCCCAGCCCTGCCCAACTCCCTCCCCACTTCCCTATGGGGGCCTCAATCCCTCCCCACCCCCTTTCTGCCAGACTTAACCTGTGGGAGCTGCTCTCCAGGCTGCCTGTTGGCCATGTGGATGAGTGCATTCACACATACACTTCGTACCCTGGCCTGACTGCCTTTCTCTTGCCTGGAGCTCTGCCAGCCTTCAGAGAGTCCTTTGCAGAAGTGGAAAATCTGTGTGTTTCTCTGTTAAAATGAAAAATCTGTATCTTCCTTTGTTAAAAGGAAAATCCATAGTTTTTTTGTTTTTCCATGGGAAATGGAAAACCCAGGTCCCCTGTGATTGGAAACCAGTTCATATCTGTAACATAGGAGAAGTTCAGTACACATAAACCACTATTAAAATGGGTGACTTATTGAAATTCTGTCTCAGATCCCCTCCAGGTTCAAGTTAACTCACAGTCCCTCAACTTCCCAGGATGTTTTCAACCTCCCCTGTAATCCCCGCCTCACAGGGTGGGCAAGCTACCCTTGGCCCAAGGTGTTTGTTTCAGCCAGTTGGCAGGTGTCTCTAGCACCCCTTGGCTTCTGGCCTGAGCCACTTCAGGCATGTGCCTGCATTTCTGGAATCAAAGGTGAATGTCTGTTCACTTGCTTGTCAGTTCAATTTAAACATCTTAGAAGCTGACTCAATTCAGCCTCGGATATTTTGACTGCCTGTACTTAGCCATAAGATCCAGTAGATCTTATCTAACTGGACTTCTGTAAAGTATCTGATACATGTTAAGTTATTAGAGTTGTCTGCTTTGATCCCACCAAGTGGGATGAACACATTAAGGATCTGGAGCTGAGATTCCCACAATTATATATGATACAATCCCAAAATGGTAGCCACTCCAATCAACAAAGCCAGACTCAGACTTCTCTCTCTGACTTGCTAGAATACCAACCCCAGGTCAAGGACAACAGAGTCATCTGTTATCTGGAAGCCCAGCGTGAACATGCTGAATGAACTCCAACCCATCCTGGAAAAGAAAGAGCATCTCAAAGTAGCTGTGGGGGACAAACCTGTCCTGCCTTAGAGATAGCTCTCAACCTCAAATGGTGTCTATCAAATAATAGGCTACCTAACTCCCAGGGCCTTGCATTGGACCCAGGTGCCTTCTGTGCCCTAATAGCAAAACAGACCATATCATCACTGGATCGAATATCATGGATTACAACATCCAAAGTTCATTCACTTGCAATTTTACCAATGTCATATACCCTATCACCTGCTTATAGCACTCTTCTTCTGTCTACATCGGACAGACGTGATGGTCTGTAGGAATGAATGAACACTGATCCGACAGCTGCAGAAAGAAACAAAGGCCTTTGGCAAAACTTCCTGGACATTCCATCACTGACCTCAGGATTGCTGTTCTCAGACAGAAAAATAAAAAAAATACTGTTTGAAGGGTGTATTGCAGAACGAGAAATCACCCACAGAATGGATTGTTATAAGTATGGGATTCTTATAAGAATCCGTAGTCCCTATTTAACCATACTTATAACAATCCATTCTAATCCAACAATTCTAATCCGTACTTGGATTAGTTTTTGTGAACCCTTTGCTCTTCTGTATTCTTTCCTGGTTTGCTGGCCCCTCTTTCCCTTCCTGTCTTTCTCTCCCTCTTCCCTTCTCACCTTTTGTATTCAAATTGCTCACCTCACTTTAAACACTGCTCTATGCTTGTCCGTTTATAGCATTTGATGAAGTGAACTCAAGTTCACAAAAGTTTATGATCTATAGTTAGTTTAAAAAGTGCATATCTAGCCTATTTGCATGAACAACATTGGTTAAAAAAGTAGTAGTTTGCTGATGACAAAAGTTAGGAAGCATCACCAATATGGAAGAGAGTAGGATGTCATACAGAAACAACTGGACAATGATAACTGGAACACAAGAAGTGGGATTAAATTTAACATTGCAGCATGCAAGGTAATGCCCTTTGGCTACATATGTGAGACAGGCTAGATATGCAGAGCAATGCAGTGCAGAATAATCTTGCTCCAGTGTAGCTGCATTAATGCAGGAGTGAGGGCAGGCATTAATAAGTGCTGTTGCAAGTTTATTAGCCTACAGCGTTGCACTGTGACAAGTATCCTCCTGAGTGTTTCAAACCCAGCACTTGCAGAATTTGGCGTGGGGTATATCTGTACAGCCCTGCCTTGTGCCCTATAGAATAATAAGAATTTCTGCTATAAGTTGGGAATACATTTGTTGGAAATGAGAGAGAAAGAAGCCCTTGGTATGCTGGTCAGTCACAGGCTGATGATAAACCATCAGTGTGATGCAACTGTGAATAAACCAAAGACAATTGTTAGAGGTGTCAGGTGAGAAAAATCCAATAGAGCTAGGAAATGTTAATGCTATCGTAAAAGGCACTTGTGAGCCCTCAACTTCAATAATACATACAGATTCTGGGCAGTCATGCTCAGAAAAATGAGTTCAGACTAGAACAAATTCAGAAAAGGGTTAGTCGGATGATCAGGGGAATGGACAACCAGTCATACAAGAGGAGACAGAGAGTTCATACAGATGTTTGAGGAGTTAGGGGAAGGTTAGGTAGTGTTAAAAATGGCCACCTGATCTCACTTAGTTTGCCCACTTAGGGACCTTATGCTTAGGTCCCTAGTTAGGTTGATGTAAGTGTGAACTGGACAGAAGTTCCAGGAAAGTTAGATCAGTCAAAAATGGCTGATTGAATCTAATTTAATTGTACCTTGGAGGTGCACTAAATTAGATTGGATATGGGTAGACCGATCTAATTGAACTTCTGTACACTTTCTGAGCACAGCCCCAGGGCTGGGAAAGGCTAGCCACTGGCTCCAGCTCAGGGGCTGCTGGGCTATTGTTAACCCCACCAGCCTTTCCCCCCACCTCCAGATGGACAACCCCCCAATCCTCCCAAGTCTCCTGATTCGCCCCCCCCCCCACAAGCTTTGGTAGCACTCCCCATGCCACCCACCTCTCTCCCTACCCCAACTTACCTTAGACCAGGATCCCAGCATCCATCTAATTACTGAGTTAGATTGTGAGGCCATTTTTAACCCCATCTAACCCCCTGAACTTTAGCTGTAATGCCTGTACAGAGCTCAAGATAGCTTGGCTCGTTTCACCTAGTAGAGCAAAGGCTGAAAAAGGACATGGTTGTTTTCTATAAGTGTAGCAGGGTTCAAAACACCATGGAAAGAAAAGAATGGTTTAAACTGAAAGGCATTGCCATAAGGGTATAAATTAGTAATGAATTCATTTAAGCAGGATATTAGAAGGCTCCTAATCATCAGGACAATGATGTTCTCAGAACAGTCATCCAATAGGAGTAGTGTTTGGACAGGTAGAGTGATAAACAGAAATCCATCTAGCTTGGAAGAGCAAGTCTAGTCACTTTGTGAATGGGATTACATGATGTGGTTGCCTGCAAGATGAGGGGACTGGACCCTGAATGTTTTTTACAGTTCTGTGTCCCTTTGTGTGTCTGGCTTGCAAAGAACAGGCAAATTAGGAATACAACATGTGAAGATTGAACAGAATCCCAAAATCCCACGCGGTGTTCTTACAGTTGGGCAGAGTCCTATTTGCAATCGATCACACAGAACAGCATCTAATGACCCCTCTGACCAAATGCAGACAAGGTTAGGCATCTAACACGGATATTACTTCCTACACTTTCTTCATAACTGGGTTCTTATTTTTGCATTGGAATGCACAGCGTTGACAGTTTGATGTGTGAAATCACAAGGAGTGTGGGCCAGATGATCAGATGGTCCTTTGAGGTCAATGGAACTATGTGGATTTACACCAGCTGTGGTCTAGTTCATAATTTTAACTGGTATGAAAATGAAGTGCTAAGAAGATGAGGGGAATTCTTGCAGAATGGTTGCAAGTTTGTCCCCTAAGTGTGAAACTGCTTGGCACAGTGAGATCAAAGGACAATTTTAGACCCTGTTTGTTTGCTAAAACAGCTCTGATTTAGTAATCAATCTGCTTGCAGCCTGCCCCTCCAGAATAGTATTTCACACTTTGCAGGACATATCTGCCTGCAGTCTTCTCTGCCTGCATCTCCTCTGGATTTCAGCTGTTTTCAGAAATGACTAGGTTTATGAACAGTAACAGTGTATCATGAAAAGAATTAGAACAAAGGGCTGAACATTTCAATAGGGCAAATTTTATAAAACAGTTACAAAAATTTGAAAAGCCACCAAGAGGAGGGGAACTACTGCTGAGAGCCTTACAAACTCTAAGGAATTGCTACACGTATTATCAATGTATAATATATTACCATGTGTAACATTTTCACATGCTTCATAATGCAATTACTCTGTACTATCAGGCCATTAGTTAAACTTTAGTGCTAAAACCATGGATCCTAAAGTACAGACTCAGGATCAGAGGTGGCTGTCCAGGCTATCAGTTCAGAGCAACTCTAATGTTAAAGTCAGCTGAGTATGTGGCTCTATCCGTCTTCAAGGCAGAGGTTAGCTCCTTTCCCTGTGTCTATGGCACCCAGAACTGAGGCCTCAATCCCAGAGTCTTAGAGTACTAGCATGTATAAATAGTAGTAATATATTTGGCATGGTAAGAGCAGGGTTTGGGCTATCAGAAGACGTGAAACACTTTTATAAACATGCAAAAATTTGGAAAACCTAGAGATCTGGAGCTGTTATTATTCTAAAAAATGCCTGCAATAATTTGAATGCCATGGTTTTTAATTATCCGATTGCCCTGGCACCCCTTTTTGAATGCTTGCAAACTTAGAAGCCTTACAAAATAAATCTGGTATGTTTACAAAAGACTTCTAGGGAATTTGGCTTTATTTTCTATTTAAAAGAGCACAATATATAAAAAGTATGGGGGGAGGAAACTTTTTAGTGATTTTTTTTTTTCTTTTGTAACTATGGACATCCTGCCATATGTTGTGATAATGTTTCTCATTCTGTATAGAAGCAGTAAAGTGAATTTTTCAAGAACCCTACATTGAATTTATTTCAAAACCAGCTTTATGCATTTATGAATATATTTTCTTCTTACCAAAAGGGGACCAGTAGGGTCAGAAGGAAAAAAGCATATGGATTCATATCTTTCTTTTCTTACATTTGGTATTCATAGTTTCATAGTTTCTAGGGTCGGAAGGGACCTGAGCAGATCATCTAGTCCGACCCCTGCCATGGCAGGAACAGCACTGGGGTCAAACGACCCCAGTAAGGTGGTCATCCAACCTCCTCTTAAAAACCCCCAGGGTGGGAGCCTGCACCACCTCACTTGGAAGCTGGTTCCAGACTCTAGCCGCCCTGACCGTGAAGTAGCACCTCCTGATGTCCAACTTAAACCTTCCCTC